TGTGAGCTGTGCTTCTTCAGCTATCTTCAAGATCTGCCAGTCCCTGGGATTCAATCTCAAATCGTAAATCTCAAATTTCTAGGATTGTTTGTGAGATCCTCAATAAAGGACATAAGGGTGGAACAACCTAATTTAATTCCCATAGGAATAGTGCTACCCTAAGCAGAACAAATGAGTCTAAGTAAATACCATTACGTACGTAAAATTTGGGGCTTGTTAGTAATGACATCCTTACACTCTGGTACTAGGTAAGGTGAGCATTTCTGGAAAATATACCCATAAAGATCATCATTATTTTGCAGTACACATCCTTCCATCACACACACATTCACACACACACACTCAGTCTACATATTCTTATTTTCTTTGTTTTATTTTTTATTTCCATAAAGACTTGTTCTATTGGTTTGTCTGGACAGTCATGATGCAATTTTTGCATAAGAAAATATAGAAAAATACTGGGGTTGGCAGGTGGTCTTGTGGTTAAGGGCACTGGACTCCCACATGGCTGACCCTGTTTTGAGTCTTGGACCTGATGGCTTGCTTTCTCACTTTCTCTCTCTCTCTCGCTTCGTTTCTCTCTAGTCATAAAATAAAATAAAAAGTAAATAAATAAATTTAAATAAAATAATTCTTTATTAAAAAAAAGAAAACCAGAAGAATACGTCAGGACTTTCCTGACAACATAACATTTTGCTCCCTGGTTGTAATTAGGAACATATTTCTGAAATTAATTTTAAGATGAGATTCAATGTTAGGGACTTGAAGCAAAGAACATGTGGAAAGAGAATGTGGAAATAGAACCTTGGGGCTTAACTTTTCTGAAATTATTTAAGCATTTTGATTATTTAAAAAATTCACATACAGGAAATTCACCTTTTTGAAGTGCAATCCTATACATAATCACCTCCACCAACAGGGTACAGAACCATTCTGTCACCTGAAGGAGTTCCCTTGTGCTACCCCTGTGTAGTCAGACCCTCTCTTCTCCCAACCCTTGGCAGTCACTACTCTCTCCATCCCTCTAGGTTTCCAGAAAGTTATATAAATAAAACCATACAATATGCGACCTATAGAGACTGCTTCTTCTTACTTATTTTTGTGCATTTGGAATTTATGTTTTGCATCTACTAATAGTTCATTCATTTTGATTGCCAAGTGATATACCATTGTATTGATGTACCACAGTTTGCTTATTCATTCACTCATCAAGGAACGATTGGGTTGTTTCCAGTTTGGGGCATTTATGAATGCTGCTATGAACATTGATGTACAGGTTTTGTGTTGCCTTAAGTTTTTATTTCTCTAGGATAATACTCAGGAGATAGTAAGTGGGTAGGATGATAAGTAAAAGTTTGACTTTATATAAAATTGCTTTTCCAGAATGCTTGTACAGTTTTACATTACTACCAACAATATAGAAAGACTTTTAGTCACTCTGTATTCTTGCTAGCGCATGGGACTTTCATAAGTACACATTTTAATTATTCTAGTAGGCATATTGTGGTACTTCACATATTGACATGCATTCTTTAAGAGTCTATTCAGATTTTTTGCCTACTTTTTTCAATTGAGCTGTTTGTTTTCTTACTTTTGAGTTGTGAAAATTCCTTACAAATCCTCAATACAAATCCTGTGTTTTCTCTTAGTCTCATTTTTGTATAGAGGTTGTATAGAATTGATGTTATTCTTTTATAAATGGTTGTTTGAATTTATTAATGGGCTCATGTGGGCCAAGAGATTTCTTTTCTGGGAAGATTTTTTTTTTTTGGAGAGATTTTCGCTATAGGGCGCGTGCGCTTGCCAGACAGACAGAGAGAGAGAGACATTAGAGACAGAAAGCGAGAAATCATCCTCGAGGGGGGATGGACACGCCACAATCCCTTCTCCTCCATTCTCCTCTCGGGATCTTGGGCATGCACGCACACACGCCCGGTGTGAGTTTTAAGCCACCGGGTCCAGGATGTGAACCACAGTCGACTACGTGGGAGTCCAGCGACATAGCCATTACGCTAACTGCTGGTTCCCTTTTTTGGGAGGATTTTAAACTATGAATTTAAAATCTTTAATACAAATAGGACTCTTTTAAAAATTTTTTTAAGGAATTATTTTATTTAACTTTATTTATTTTATTTTGACCAGAGAGGGACAGAGTGAAAGAGAGTGAGAGAAAGGGAAAGTTGAGAAAGCAAGTCACCAGGTCCAGGACTTGAACCGTAGTCGGCCATGTGGGAGTCCAGTGCCTCTAACCACCATGCCACCTACTGGCCCCCATATAGGACTCTTTAGGTTATCAACTTTTTCTTGAGTGGGTTATGTTAGTTTGTATCATTCAAGATTTGGTTTATTTCATCTAAATGATCTAACTTATGTGCAGATAGTTGTTTGTAGTATTTCCTTATTATCTTTCTATGTTGGTGGATGGTATCCTATCTTTCATATCTGATTTTGGTAATACAGATCTTTTGGCAAATCTAGACAAATGTCTATCAATTCTATTGCTTTTTTTTAAAAAAGCAGTTTTTGGCTCATTAATTTTCTCCATTGTATTATTTTTTCAGTTTAATTAATTTCTATTTTATATTTACTATTTTATTTATTCTGCTTACTTTGGGTTTATCTGACTATTCTTTTTCTGATTTCTTAAGGTGGAAGTGTAGAATACTGATTTGAGGTTTTTATTATTTCCAAAAGAAGTGTTTCATGTATGAATTTCCCTAGGTACTGCTTTGGAGGCATCTAACAAACTTTGATATGTCGTATGTTCATTTGCACCCAGTTTAAAACTTTTTAAATTATTCTTTTTATTTTAATTTTTTAAATATTACATTTAATCACATGTATCTTTACAGTGTATAACATTTCTTTTTCCAGCATGATTACCATGCATATCAGTCAATACAAAGACATTACTATCCACATCACCATCATCAAATAGCTTTTCTTTTTTTCAGATTATCATTATTATTATTTTTTATTCTCATTTTTGAAAATATTCAATCACTATACATCATTTGACTTGTAAAGAGAATTTACCTAACATGAAATACTTCTCAGACCAGTCCAGTTGAGAATAGTATACATGTTATCATCAACAGGTAATAAATCATTTCTGTGTCCCATAAATGTCATGCCTCTCTATTTGTTCTCATGCTAGCCTTCTCTATACTATTCCCTTCTCCCTGCTCACCCCACCCTGTTCCACACTGTCTTCAGCATCCATAACTATTTTCATTGCTTTTATGCCCTTCAATATTTAAATCTCTACCATAGTGTAGATAGTCGGTATATATTAAGTGGATACATACCATATCTATCTTTCATAGCCTGGTTTGCTTCACTCAGCAATAAATATTCCATATTTGACCACGTTTTATTAAATGCAAGGGTCTTGGTTTTTTGTGGTTGAATAGTATTCCATAGAGTATATGTGCCACACTTTTTCAATCCATTCCTCTGTTTGTGGACATTTGGGTTGGTTCATGTCTTAGCAATAATGAATAATGCTGCGATAAACTTTGATGTACAAGCACTTTTCCAACTGATCCTGTCCTTTGACTAGATATTCAGACGTGGGATTGCCGGATCAAATGGTAGTTCTATTTGTATGTCTATGAGGAACCTCCATATTGTTTTCCACAGTGACTGGAACAATTTACATTCCCACCAACAGTGTAGGATAATTTTTTTAAATTATTCTTGACGCTTCTATATTGATCAACACATTTCATAAATGTGTTGCTTAATTTAACATATTTAGAGGTTTTTTGGATCTCTTTCTGTTACTGATATGATTCCAAATGGTCACAGAACAGCCTCCAACATTTTATTCTTTTAAATGTAGTAAGGTTTCTTCTGTGACACAAGATGTGGTCTGTTTTAGTGAATGTTTCATGTATACTACAAAATGGTGTATGTTCTATTGTTGTTTGAGTGGGATAGCCCATAAATGCTAATTTGTTGAAGTTGTTTGATAGTGTTACTTAAATCTTCTATATTTTTGCTGAGTTTTTGTTTACTTTGGCTGTCAACCACCAAGAGGGGAGAACTGAAGTCTGGACATAATTGTGCACTTCTATTTACTTTCCGTTACGTCAGGTTTTTGAAGTTCTTTTACATACATAGACAGTTATGGCTGTTATATCTTCTTGATAAGATGACTCTTTTATTATTGGGTAATATCCCTCTTTATCCCTGATAATTTCCTTGTTCTGAAGTCTATTTTGTTTGTTATTATTAGAGCCACCAAGCTTTCTTTTAATTGGTTGTTGCATGCAGAGTTAGCTTTCCCATCCTCTTACTTTAAAAATATATATATTTTATTTAACTTTTTTTAATTTTTAAATTTGACCAGAGCGAGATAGGGCAAGA